ACTGGAACCATAGTTGACTATGTGGGAGTCCGGCAATGTAGCCAATATGTCATCTGCTAGTTCCCAGTTTATGTTTTTTGAAGCCCTCTTATTCTCTTCTTTAAGGATCTGACACTCAGCAAGTGAAAAATCCCACCAGGGGCCGGCAAGTGGCGTGGTGGTTAAGGGCACTGGACTTCCGCATGGCTGATCATGGTTCAAGTCCCAAACCTAGTGCCTTGCCTTTTCACTGTCCCTCTCTCTAGCTCACTCTCACTCTGTCCCTCTGGCCAAATTAAATAAATAAAGTGAAATTAAAAAAAAAAATCCCACCCTTCAAAGCATACACAATCCAGCCAGGTAGACACACATATACAAGCAGCACTATACACTTTGTTCAAGCCTATTAAGGTGCAAAGATCATACTTGCTTGGGAAACAGCATGTTATGGAGGCAAGTAGAGAAAAAAGACCAGTCTTCAAAGAGACAACGGCCCACAGCCTCCTCAGTGTTCAGTAAGTGTTCAGACTGTTGTTTCGGAGGTGAAGGAAGAGAAGGTAAAAAAGGAGAAAACTGAGAGCAAAAAGAAAAGAGAAAAAGTAAGAAAAGAGGAGGAAGGGCAAGAGTGGAGAAAAAGAAAGAAGGGACAAAGGGACAAAGACACCATTAAATAACAAGAAGCAATTCAAGCCTCCCAATGCCTTCATAGATATAATACCTATGACTGAATTGATGAGAAGGTTGACACTACATGATTTTTTTAATTGTGTAAAAGTATTAGGTATTACTGGATTATGTACAATGTAACTTTTAATGAGAAAGTTCCTGGATGACATACTTTAAAACAAGGTAGTTAACACTAAACTAACAGCAAGAAACAAAGTTGCAACCCAAAAATCTAAATCTAAATGAAATTCTCTCCTCTGTAAATAATCTTTGAAAGTATTCACAAAGAATTTTTAAGTTAGACCTAAATATCTATTAACTTTAAGAGTATAAATAAAGGGGGGAAAGCAATGTATTTCTAACAACTTTGAAAAGCAGAGCACTGAGAAAATGAAACATTTACCCTTCAATGAAAGCTGTTTCATACAATGTCAAATAGTCAACGAAGTCCAGTATAGACATGGCTTACCTGAAAACTGGAACTCACACTGGTACATTACTATTGACACATCAGTCATAAATTCCCAAACCTGGTCTTTAAAATCTATGCCAAGAAATTTGAAAACTAAAATAATTTCCTTTCTTAAAAAAGGGCAGGGGATCAGCAGTTGGCATAATGGCTATGTCGCTCAACTCCCACGTAGTCAACTCAGGTTCGAGTCCCAGTCCCAGTGGCTTGAGTCCCATTCCCAGTGGCTTAAACTCACACTGGGTGTGCGTGCTTGTGTGAGTGCCCAAAATACCAAGAGGAGAATGGAGGAGAAAGGATTGTGGCGTGGCCATCCCCCCTGGGGGATGATTTCTCGCTTTCTGTCTCGCTGTCTTTCTCTGTCTTTCTGGCGAGCACACGCACCCTATAGCAAAAAACTTTTAAAAAGAAGGGGGTGGGGGGCAGCAGGTGGCATGGTGGTTAAGGGTGCTGGAATCCCACATGGCCGACCATAGTTCGAGTCCTGTACCTGTCAACTTGCTTTCTCACTTTCACTTTCTCCACCCCCTCCACTCTCTCTCAGCTCACGTGTCCTATAGCAAATTCAAAAAATAATAATAAAGTTAAAAATAATTCTGGAGGCCAGCAGATGGCACAGTGCTCATGTTGCTGGACTCCCAAATGGTAGACCACAGTCCAAATGCTGGACCTGGTGGCTTGAAATTCATGTAGAGCACATGTACATGTGTGCCCAAGATCCTAGGACAAGAACGGAGGAGAAGGGATTACTATAAGGCCATCCCTCCCCCCCCAGGGGGGAAGGAGGATGGTAATTTCACACTTTCCCTCTCAATGGCTCTCAATCTCTCTCTGAGCGCAAGTGCTCTCAAGCAAAAATCTAAAAATAATAATAATAATAATCTAGTTTAAAAAAAAAAAAGCACAGGGTGGGGCCAATCAGTGAAAGGTGGTTATGGCAGCTAGATCCCACAGGGCCAACTGTACGGTTGAGTCCCAGACCTGGCAGCGTGCATATCCAAAATTCCAAGAATGGAGAAAAAAAGGGATGGCACCATGTCCATCCCTTTCCTCCCCCCTCAGTAGTGGGGGGCTGCTTTCTCATTCACCCTCCCCCCACCCCACCCTGACTATCCCACATGTGCAATGTGCCCTATAGCAAAACTTAAAAAACAAAAACAAAAAAGGTCTTTTTGCCTTCCTTCAGGTTACATCTCCATTCTCCTTTTTGGAAAACAAAAACAAAAACAGCTGCTAAGATCTACCAGAGCTCCACCACCTCACCAGTCAACACTATGAGTGCCATCACACTTAACTTTTAAGGACACTCCATTTACTCAAATTAACAACTAAGTGAACTGCTATTTGCTGACATACAGGTTACTCAAAAGGAAAAATAAAGGGAACCAGAAGTTAGCTTAATGGCTATGTCGCTGGATTCCCACGTAGTCGACCGCGGTTCGTGTCCCGGACCCGGTGGCTTAAAACTCACACCAGGCGCGTGTGCGTGCGTGCCCAAGATCCCGAGAGGAGAATGGAGGAGAAGGGATTGCGGTGTGACCATCCCCCCTGGAGGGTGATTTCTCGCTTTCTTTCTCTATGTCTCTCTCTGTCTGTCTGGCGAGCGCACGCGCCCTACAGTGAAAATCTCTCCAAAAAAAAAAAAAAAAGGAAAAATAAACAAAATATGTATTGAAGAAGACAGAACTTCAATGTCTGTGAATTCATGCACAAACTGCTTCTTTTGATCAGGCATTAACCCTTTATAACTTATGCCCCCACAAAAAAAAAAAAAAGTGACCTTAACAAAGGACCTAGTTTTTTAAAAAAGGATTGGGAATCAAATTTCCAGGTTAACAGTTTCTTTGGACCACTTCAAACCTTCAAGACAGGTTTATACTTTCTATATACAATCTATAATTGGGAATAGAGATAGAAGACCAATTTCCATCAAAGCACAAGTACTTATTGAAGTAAATCCATTCTACTCCATATACTCCACTATTTCTCTGACCAAACAATAAATCACTCAGGCTAATATTAAGAGAGTCGCTTCTGATGAACAACTGCACAGGCTGCACCAGTTACCAGGAAAGGGAAGCAGAATTGTTACTGTTGTTCCAGTCTAGTTCTAAAGGTAGCTCCTTGTGACTACTGCTGGTCCAGCCCACTTTTAAAGAGAGGTCAGAGGAAACCAGAGCAGCAGGAAACAGGCAGGAGAGGCAATTACCACAACTCTGTCCCATGGCCTCATTCTCTCCCATGCCACCACTTCCAGTCATATTTCAATCATGAGAAAAAACTCCCTTTCTGAAACGTTTCAAAATTAAGAGTTAGAGGCTAGAAGGAAGCAAATGGGGGAATCAAAGCTGGGAGAAACAAGCTATATGTACACTAATATGTACGTATAATAAACAAGCTAATATGTAAGCTAGCCATAAGCAGGAAAATCAGGAAGAGCTCAAGGACAGCAAGCTAAAAAGCAATGTGGGAAACTAATCACCTCTGCCTAATGATAAGAAAAGCCTTCATGGCAATGGAAGAATGTCCTTTAGCTAAGGGTTCCCAGAGAATAGAGAGCTGCTGTAGTATACTGAAAGACCCTAATCCTCTGCAGAACTAGAATTTATTCCCTTTCCTCAGATAGAGTCCATACTGACTGATTTAGCCATTTAATGACTAAATACAGGAGAGCTCAGACATGATCCTCATCTTCCTTCCACCTATACTTGACAAAATGACACTAAAAAAGATGATTCTGGATAACTCATGGTGAAAAGTGAGAACACACTAACTAGTGGCATATCTTGGTGAAAAAAAAGTGTGATCACAGTGGAAGAACTAGGTTCATCCAAAAAGTCAGCTATATGCTCTTGGAATAAAAGGTAATCATTGGGTACCTTAGGAGACCTTAGAAAGCTCTCAACTGTCTGGATACACACAGGTGCTGGTGAAAAAAAGAATAGCATGCCTAAGTACTGGCGAGCCATACACCTTGGATATGAGGTAGAAACAATATCCAATAGAGGTGATACTTAGTCACCGGATTATGTTAAACAGGAAATAACAAAAATGATAATTGGATCAATCCCTAGAGAAAACAAGTATGAAAGAACAGAAACGTTGACAATTCAGATACCTGGGCAACTGGTGAGACTGAGAACTTTGGAGAAAAGGTGGAAAAGTCGAATGGGAGCGTGATTCAGAGGCAAAGAAAACTGAGTTGTAACACGCTAATGAAAGGATATTTTGAACATGTATTTTAACTGACAGCGCTTTACAGTTTACAAAGCACCCTCAAACCTACAATAAACCAAAGAATAAACTATCATACGAAATTACAGGAACTGAAATGAAGAGGAAAACAGTCCTGAGACCAAAGCCCTCCAGGAGAAAAGGAAAAGAGTTGCAGAACTATAACTATGCCTCCGGGTAAGCCCGGTAAAGCTAGAGAGCGGAGAAGTTGGTCTCTAGGAGGGCCAGTCCCAGGACTAGAGACCGGCGTGGAGGCGCAAAGGTGGTCAGGACGGGAGCGACAGCGTGGCGGGGAAGCTCCAGCGGACAGGCAGGAACGGAGGTGGGAGGAAAAAACCACACCCTCCAGGGCAAGAACCCGAAAGGGGGATGGGAAGGCGCCCCCTGGGGCTGGGTGGAGCCCGAAGGACTAGGATGGGGGAAGGCAGGAAGGAGCACAGGGTGACACGAGGGGAACAGGAAGGAGGGCGCCCAGGCCTGGATATACTGAGGAAGCATGAAGCCGGAGAGCAAAGCTTGGCCCGGTCCTCACGGGTGGGCGCTGGGGCAGTCTGAAGGGGGCTGTGTGTTTAAAAGAGCTGAACCCAGAACCAGAAACTACACGCCGCAGCGCTCATGTCTTTGGAGGAGAGGAGGAGAGGGTGACAATTACCGCTGTTGCTCTCGCTGGCCTCAGGACCCGCCACCCCAGCCGCCGCTCGT